CCAGTAAGCAGCAGTGCCAGGAATCAAACTGCTCTTTTTTTTTTTTAATTTTATTTATTTTGAGAGAGAACATGCTCATGAGCTGGCGGGGAGGGGGATTGGAGGGGGGGCATGTGGGCAGGGCAAAGGGAGAGAAAGAGGGAAAAAATCCCAAGCAGACTCCACGCTGAACATGGAGCCCCACTCGGGACTCGATCTCATGACCCTAAGGTCAGGACCTGAGCCGAAATCAAGAGTCGGACCCTTAACTAACTGAGCCACCCAGGCGCCCCTCCAGAGACTGCTGTTGACCAGTGACTCGCCTGGCATAGTAGCTGGTGCTCTGGTAGGTAGGAGCCTCGTCCGTTCCTCCAGGTGCTGGTTTGAGCACTTTCCATGTATTGGTTCATGCAATCTGCTTAGCGGAGGGAGGCACTGTTACTATCCCTGTTCTACGGAGGAGGAAAGTGAGGCCCAGAAAAGGTCAGTGGTTGGGCCAAAGTCACACAGAAGAGGCTGGCCGTGCGCTGGGAAGAGTGCGGAGTGAGAAGTGGAGGGCTGGTTCTGCTGGTGGGCCTCTGCCTAAGGGATCGGTCATTCACGCGCCCCACCTCCTCGTCAGTCAAACGGAGTTGATAATCAGCCTTTCCTGGGGCCAGCAGGCAGCTTTGCCGGGAGCACAACATCAGTGGGAGAGGAGACCCAGGATGAGAGGTGCTGTGGTCACTGGAGAACGCTCAAACACCAAGACTCTATCTCCTTTGCTCCCAGGTATTCACGGGTGCCTACCTAGCGGCTGTTGACTTGGTGAACTTTGTCTTCATCCTCTTCCCCATCTGTGGCTGCAGACTGAAGTCTCACGTGGGTGAGTGTGTGGCCTTCTGTTCCTGTGTGCGTTCACCCACTCTTTCATCAGCGTGCTCAGTGCCTGCTCCTTGTCGCGCCCGAGCCGGGCCCCTGCCGGGTGCAGACAAAGGAATTGGCTCCCTGACCCCAACCAGAGAAGAGAGGCAGGGCCCTAAAGAGTCATCGGTTCTGCTAGTGAAGCTGTGCACACACACCATGCGCAACCAGAGGGAAGGATGTGACCGTGGAATGGGGACCGCAGGGAAGGGTACTCCAGGTGAAAAGAACAGTGTGAGCAAAGGCCAGGAGGTGGGGTAGTACGGGCTGTGCGAAGGAACAGTGATATCTCAGTGTGCGAGTCCAGGATGGCCAAACAAAGCCCCGTAACTTCTGGAAATGGATGCCAGAAGTGGGCGTGGGCCACCTCGGGCAGAGAGTCCCTGAGCTGGGATGGGTCACCCTGACTCTGTGGGACCGGGCCTTCCTGAGAAGGGTCAGCAGTGTGCCCAGACCCTTGTCCAGAAAGGAAGTGCTTGCACCAGTGGGGGAAGGTAAGATGCCCCCAGCTGCTCAGCACTGCCCAGAGGAGCCATGTTCTTACTAGAATTTTCAGAGGATTATCTGTCTTATATTTCAAGGAGACTTCCAAGACCGTGCACCTTTTTTGCTCACGGTTTCGGGCCCCAGCACAAACACATTGATGCATTCCCCAAGGTCGCGCCGGCTCTGCTCTGTGCCAGGCTCTGCGGAGCTTACAGAAGCTGCCGGGCCGTGCTGCCTGCCCTCGGGGGGCTCCGCTCTCGCAGAGGCTACTCTGTGCGCAGATACATGAGAAACACAAAACGCTATCAGAGGGCCGAGGAAGGAGAAGAGCACCAGTCGTGAGGGGGGATGGGATGGGGTGGTGGGGAGGAAGGACTTCTCCAAAGACGAGGCACAGCCACGGGGCCTCGAGGGGTGGGGAGGATGTGGCCTGTAGAACAACTTGGGAACTGGTTCTGGCATCAGGGCTGGGTTGACAGCTGGTTTTCACAGGCCACGGTCCGTCAAGTTCTAGATCCCAGAAGGCTGTGGCATTGTGGTGTTTGTTGCAGGTCGGGGCTCCCGGGAGAGGAAGAGGGGGCGGCGGCTCAGGGCCAGTGTATTTGCCCTGGCCCTGCCGCTGAGCCTGGGGCCAGGCTGGGCGCTCTGGGCCGCCGTCCCAAAGGCTTCAGGCCCCATCCGAGGGCCCCAGCGGAGGCTGCTGGAAAGCCTGCTGCAGGTGAGGCTGAGCCCAGGAGGATGTGGGGGGTGTGCGTGTCCCTTCCCCCCTCACGGTCCCAGCAAATGCCCTGGGTAGGGGATAGGGTTCGGGCTTGCCGTGGTTGGGAGGAAACTACTACAATTGGGAAAGGATGGGTGTGGGATGCCTGGGCTCTCTCCTCAGGGCCCTGAGCGTGTCACCTACTCCCGCAGGACAATACTGAGATCCTCGGCTACCTGTTGGGTGGCATCGCCGCCTTTGGCTCCTGGGCTTCCCGGATCCCCCCGCTCTCCAGAATCGTGAGGCTGGGTCGGGGCTGGGACTGTGGGTCACCATGGCAGGTCTTAGGGCACCCGGGAGCATCTTCCAAGCTCCAGGTCCTGGGGTGGAGAGTTGTGTCACACGTGTATCACGTTTGTGTGTGTGTGTGTGTGTGTGTGTGTGTGCGCGCGCGCGTGCACATGCAGAGCTGGGCAGCCAACGCACGGGAGCTCATGGGGCCTGCTAGAGCCTTTCCCGGGACAGCCCATTGTGTTCTCTCCATAGCAAAGAAAAGCAGGCTCTCAGGAAAAAGGCCCTGGGGTTCAGTAAACGAACATCCCACTAGGGAGTGAGACGGTTTCAGAGGAGAGCATCTCCTCTGACCGCGGCTGCCGGGCTTCTGTGTATTCGGGAGCACCTCCCCACGGAAACTTCCCTGGCATCCAGGCTGAGGGAAGCCCTGTGTTGGCCGGTTCCGGAGGGGACGCAGCCGTGACTTGAGACGCTGTGCTTGCCCTTGGGAAACTCACAGTCTCCTGGAAAGACACGGAAATGCAAAGCAGGATATTTTAATGCTCTGAGAAGGATAGAATCAGATGTTTGGGGTTTCGGAGGAAGGAGAAGAGGGTTCTAAGCTATTCAAATGAGTGAGGGTGAAATCATCACACCGCCAGGCGGGGGGAGGCCGCTCAGCTTGGCTCCGAAGGGATGGTGGGCCTGGAGGAGGCAGAGGTGAGGGGAAGCGGGGAGCCCCCGGGAAAAGCCACCGAGGCCGGAGAGCCGCTGTGGAAAAGCAGGATATCGTGGGTGTGCAAACCCGCTCTGCTGTGCCTGGCGGGCCTCGCTGGCAGGAATAACGGCCAGGCCTAACACCGGAAACGTGACGGGCTCCTCGCTGGGGCTAAAAAAAACATCACTTGCCCCAGAGCATCATTTCATAGCAGTTCCAGGAGAACAGATTCGGGGACGGCAGCTGCTTCGTTGGTCATTTGTGGGAAGTGGAAGCCTGTGCCGTGCTGGCCGGGAACCCCCTGGGGCATGCCGCCCCCAGACCGAGGGAGGGGTGCGAGGGGAGCGTGGGGAGCCCCTGGGACGTGGGGCTCGAAGACCTTCAGAGGGACTGGTGCAGTGCCTGGCTGTATTAGTTCCCTGGGGCTGCCGTAAGAAAGGTTCACAAACTTGGGACAACAGAAACGGGTTGTCTCAAAGTACTAGAGGCCGGCAGACCAATACCAAGGTGTCAGCCGGGCCATGCTCCCCCTGAAGGCGCTAGGGAAGGAGCTCTTTCAGGCCTCTTTCCAAGTTCCTGGAAGTTCCTTGGCCAATGGCTACGTAACTCCAGGGTTCACACGGCGTTCTTTCTCCGTGTGTGTGTCCTCATGCAGCCTTCCTTCTGTACGTGTCCAGGCCTAGCTTTCCCTTTTATAAAGACACGGTCATATTGGGTGAGGGTCCACCCTAATGACCTCATCTTAACGAGGTCATTTGCAAGGACCCTGTTTCCAGAGAAGGCCACGTTCACCGGCTCTGGAGGCTGGGACTTCAGCATCTTTTGTGAGAGGGGAAAACAAGTCAGCCCCTAACGCCACGCACCTAACATAGCCCCATGACTGTGTCCTTCCTTCCGCTTCGTTTTATTCACAGCGTTTGTCACAGCCTGAAACTAGCTCCTTCAGTTATTGACCAAGTTGTTGGTCCCCAGTAGAACGTGAGCGCCCTGAGGGCAGTGGTCTCGTCTGTTCTGTTCCCCTCTGTATTGCAGGTGCTTGGAGCCTGCCCATGGCAGGTGCCAGCAGACACTTTTTAAAGACTTAATCTGGTCTGGGACAAAGGAAGCTCATGGATGCAGGAATTAGAAGGGCTTTCTCGGGGCAGAAAGAGCAGCCCTGTTCTCTGTGGTCTAGGGGAAGAGAACCGAAACCAAGACTGGAAAGAGGTTATGGGGGGGGGGGCGCCACATCCCATTTATAGGTTAGATGTTTTGCATAGTTTCTGGAATGTTGAAAGCGATCAGTATTGTTATTCCTGTCTTAGGAGGTAGTGGGCTCCCCATCACTAAAGGCATTCAAGCCTGATGGCCCCTTGGCAGGCAGATAGAGTTAGATCATGTTAGGGATTAGATTGGGCAATCTCTGAGGTGCTGTCTCTGGTCCCATGAAGAAGAGCCCAGAGCTAGGATCCCCTTACTAGGGAGAAACTAAGCAGGGTTTGGGGTGTTCTGGGAAGCCTAGCCAGCACAGCTATGAAGCCTAGATACCCGCCCAGAAGGTACTTCTAATTTACCCCTGGTGGGGGCGCTGAGGAGCAGAATGGTTGGGTGGCTTTGGTGGAAGAAGTCCCCGTTCTTCCAGGAGGGACGCGCCCGCTGACCAGGAGGGCCTAGGCTGGCAGCACTGGGATGGAGTGCTGTTGCAGAAGCTGAGGCACGGCTTGCTTCCAGCCCCCAGCGCAGATTTGCCAGGCAGCCTCCTGGCTGAACATCCCCCCCTGGGTTCTGTGTGACCAACCAGACGAAGCCCACATGTGCTGGACCTGCCTTATCTTGAGTCACTGAGCCAACCCCAGCCTACAGCAGTTGCTCAGCACCTACGGTGTGTCCAGTGTGCAGGCAAATAGAGCCCCATAGGCCCTAGTACTGACCCTGAAGGGAGATTGAGTTTTAAAGTCAGTGCGCACCGGGAATGGGTTGGCACGTGAGTGAGAGCACAGAGCTCACCCAGGTTGAGCTGATCCAGAGCAGCTGCAGGTGCAAATTCAAGAGGCAGAAGGCAGGTCCCAGCCCTGGCCCTGCAAGTCACCTCCCCTCTCGGGCCATCAGTGTCCACAGTAAATGGGGGTGGGCAGGCTGGGGGATCCCCGAGGATTTCCCATCACAGCAGTGCTGGCTGGGACAGAGCTCCTTCCTGGGCTGAGTCAGGTGCGGCCGGCAGGTCAGGGACCACCCTCCCCAGCCCAGGTGCTGGGTGTCTTTAGGAACCATTTTTCAGGGCATGGCCAAGAACAAAACAGGGAGCCCTGGGAACAAAACTTGAAGGCATGCAGAGGGAAACAAAACACTCCCAAGGACTCTTTTTGAGAGTTAAAATAAAAATGGGGAAAATCAACCAAACCTTGCTTTTTCCTCTGAATTTTTTTCATTCTCTAGCCAAGGCCTGTATATCTCTAAATATAATTATTTAATAAGTAAAATGAATTACATGTAATTTATATTTATATCAATTTAAATATGCCGTGTGATTATATATAATTGAAAATATATAGTATTTGTGTATATACATATAAATGTATACATAAAGTGACATCACACCTGTAAAGGGTACTTAACATATAAATATTGAAAGTGGGTTTTTTGGCTTTTGTTTGGTTTTGGTTTTGTTTTTTTGTTTTTTTTTTTAAGATTTTATTTATTTATTTGAGAGAGAGAGAGAGAGAATGAGAGACAGAGAGCACGAGAGGGAAGAGGGCAGAGGGGGAAGCAGACCCCCCGCTTGAGCAGGGAGCCCGATGTGGGACTCGATCCCGGGACTCCAGGATCATGACCTAAGCCGAAGGCAGTCGCTTAACCAACTGAGCCACCCAGGCGCCCCTGGTTTTGGTTTTTTTAACCAGTATTGTCATTATTCATTCTCCAAAAATATCCCCTGGCTTCAAAACTTCCAGAATGTTATCTCTAATGTTCTTGACGTTTCCCGGCTGGCCAAGGAAGAGAAGTCCTTGGCTTCTTGGCTGTTCTTGGCTGTTCATAATTTGTCCTAATTCCCTCCCGTTCTCCCAGCTGACATTCATGTGCCCCTACCCAGTGCGCGGTGTCAGGGATGCTGAGATGGGGAGGACGCTCTCAGGAGCACTCTGTCTGCTGGGATGTGTCATGTGTCATGGGGCCTGGAAGTGGGAGTGACTCGCCCCTGTTTGGGTGGAGATGGTATGGGAGGTTTCTCAGAGCTGAGTTTAAGCCAGGTTCTGAGGCATGAATAGGCAAAAGAAGCAGTTTAAGCAAAAGCCGAAGCAGCACCTTTGGGGACTGGCCATGGGCAAAGAGAGGGCTTGCCCTCCAGCCTGCATGCCACCAAGAGCCTAGGTCTTAGAATCCAGCTCTGAGGAAGCTGGGGGAGGGCAGTGCTCCTCCCTGCCCAGCTCCCTCCTCTCTCTCTGTCCAGTGCCAGGGTAAGGCGTTTCCCTCCATCCACCTGTGGACCCGGCTCCTGTCGGCTCTGGCTGGCCTCCTCTATGCCTCGGCCATTGTGGCCCATGACCGGCGGCCTGAGTACCTGCTTCGGGCCACGCCCTGGTTCCTGACCTCCCTGGGCCGAGCTGCACTGGACCTCTCTGTATCCACCTGGGGCCTAGGGGGCTTGACTGCTTGTGTCTCATGTCCTCCCTGCCCCTGTGGTGCCCTCCCTCCCTCTTGCTAGATGGAGCTGTCTCCCAGGGGCCAGGGCCAAGGTTTGAGGCCTGGGGCCGACAGATGCAATTGAGTTATTTGCAATTTTGTATTTTGTTTCCTTTATGTACATATAAAAGAAAGAATGATCTCTTGGCTGGACCTCTGTGGAGCAGCAGGGGGGAGTGTGCAGGTTCCTGGCCCTGGGAGCAGGAGACCCGGGCACCAGTCTCACTGCTGCTTCTCCCCTGGGCCGGCCCCCACCCTCCCGGGAACCTGTTCCCCTCATCTTTGCCCTGTCTTTCTCACAAGGCTAGGAACGGGCTTTGCAAGCCGACCTGCCATGCAGGGCTAAGCATCCCCGTTCTCCTGTCTTTGGCACTGGAGCCTGGGCTGGGGACACAGATAAAAGCTGACAAGGGCTGCCCTTTGTCAGTGACTGCTGAGCACCTTTCTGGTTCCCCAGTGGGTGTTGCCTGATGCGCGGACACCCCAGTGACCTTGACATGAGAGCCTCAAGGGCAGGCTAAGCTCAGACAGTGGGTAATTTGTGTATGAAAAAACCTGTGGATTTATCAAAAATAGTTTAGAAATCATTAAAAACGGTGGTTTTTCTCATTAGCTGCCATATTAAGTTACCAGAAGTTGGTGGCTTGAGACAAAAGAAATGTATTCTCACAGTTCCATGGGCTACAAGTCCAAAGTCCACGCAGGGACCACACTCTCCCGGAGGCTCTGGGGGAGAACCCTCCCTTGTCTCTTCCAGCTTCTGATGGCCCCTTGTGCTCCTTGGCTGTGGGTAGCATAATTTTATCTCCTGCCTCAGTCTTCACAAAACCTCTTCCCTTCGTGGATCTCTGCCCGTCCTCTGCTCTTATAAGGACTCCAGTCATGGGATTAAGGGTCCATCCGAATCCACATGACCTCATCTTAACTATATCAGCACAGACCCTTTAAAGAAAAAAAAAGATTTCATTTTTAAGTCATCTCTACACCCAACGTGGGGCTTGAACTCACATTTGATCTTAGCCAAAAGGCCGAGAAGCGATGGGGCTTGAACTCACAATCCCCAGATCAAGAGTTGTTTGCTCCACCGACTGAGCCAGCCAGGGGCTCCAAGACCCTATTTTTAAATAAAGTCACTTTCTGAGCTTCCAGATAGATAGGACTTTGGGTGGGGGTGGAGGGGCACTATTCAACCCACTCCGTGTACTGTCCCTGTGAGCCAAGCGCTTCAAGGAAGATGTTTTTCAAAATGCTTTTGTTTAAGTATTTACTAAGTATTTACTAAATTCTTAGAGGCAGGGTCTTGCTGGCTGCTGGGCCCTTGTGGGGGAAATGTCAGACCCGGTTCCGTTCTTAAATGAACATGTCTGTTCTGGGGCCAACCCAGGCAGGATCATCCGCGGGAGGGAGAGAGCCCAGTCAGGGGGGCCCTCGGGGTGTAGAGGTGAAGGTAGCCGTGGGTGGCCGAAATGCTCTGCTTCCTTGGACCTTAACTCTCCCTCTCAGATCATATTCCTCTCCTGGGTGATGAAGAGCAAGATGAGACGGGCCTTGGGATTTGCCCCTGAAGCCGGAGAGAGCCCTGACACCCAAGCCCTCTTGACCTGCGTGGAGAAAGAGGAAGAAAGCCAGGAGGCAAGGTCTCGCCAGCTGGAAAACTGCTGGTCCCACGGGGGGCTGCGTGCGGAACCTAGGACAGTTGGTGACTTTAAAAAACTACTGTTTATGGAAAAAAAAAAAAATGACCGTTTTTGCCCAATACCAAGCATACCTGGAATAAATAGGATCCTCTACTTTTCCAATTACAACGTATTTTTTTAAGTTTTTTTGATCTTTTAATAAACTTTAATATATTTTTAGCAACATAGATGGAAGAGTCAAATGTCCATGTATGCTCTTTGGCAGTTTACCTCCTCATATATATATATATATGTGTGTGTGTGTGTACATATATATATATGTTCCCGTACTACATAAATTAATAGGTTAATTTAGAAATAATATGATTTTGCCCACATAGTTTAGGAAAACATGTATTCCCACTTCCACGTGCATCTGTGATGTCCGCATCATGGCCATCACTAACACAGCCTTTTTTCAGTTGATACAGCTAAAAGCTGGTCTTTCAAGGTTTGCTTGCGTAGTGTCCACCATTTACAGTTCCGTCCTACCAGCACGCGTGTTTGTCTCCTTTTACTGACTTGAGGAGGTGACCCCTGTGAGTAAGCAGAGCTTCTCCTAACTGAGGCAGTTTACCTTTGTCAAAAGTCCTCGGTTCCCAGTAACTGAGAAATTACGTCATAATACAACAGTGCTTATCAGGACTAGAACATAAAGCAGGTCCCTCTTTTCTAAGATAATTTCTTGAGGACAGAAATCTCGCCTATTGCCTGGGCTCCTCACTGTCCTCGTTTTTCTCTCAGAGAGCATGAGTGAGACTCTGTGAGCGAGCTGGTCCACTCCTTCCAACGTTCTCGTTTGATACAGTGGAATCTGACTGAGTCAATGAAACAGAAGATAGTGGTGGACATGGCCAAGGGAGAGGGGTTTACGCAAGTGCTTGGACCAGAGCTCCATGTTCCCATCAAGGCTCTAATGGGAGGTTATTTTCATTCCATTCCAGAAACTTAGGAAATTAGGTCCCCACAGGGAGCTAAAGTATTTAAAGAGAGCCTTGTGTGTCTTGGTGTTCTGAAGAGAGGAAGGGGAGCCTTTGCAATGTCTTCCACAGGGCTTTTTTTTTTTTCTTAAGATTTTATTTATATATTTAAGAACAAGAGAGAGAGAGAGCATGAGCAGGGGGAGGGGCAGAGGGAGAAGCAGACTCCCCACCAAGCAGGGAACACAAGCAGGGGGAGTGGGAGAGGGAGAAGCAGGCTTCCCGCTGAGCAGAGAGCCCAATGTGGGGCTCGATGCCAGGGCCCTGGGATCATGACCTGAGCCGAAGGCAGACGCTTCACCGACTGAGCCACCCAGGTGCCCCTCTTCCATAGTTCTTTACAGCGATGGTTCTCAGTGTGTGGTCCCTGGACCAGCATCGGCCGCAAACTTATTGGGGATGCAATTCTGGGGTTCCACCAGCTCTACCAACTCTGAGGCTGAGGGTGTTCTAATAAGTCCATTGGGTGCTTCTGATGCACACTAACATCTGAGAACGATTGCTTTACAAAAGCATTTATTTAGTGCCTACTGCAGTGGTTCCCAGACTTTGCCACGCTTTAGAATCATCTGGGGGGCTTTGAAACTCCAGGTCACATCCCTACCAGTGAATCAGAATGTCTGCTAGGGGGTGGTGGGCAAAGCTAAGCATCAGAGTTTTGTTTTGTTTTGTTTTGTTTTTAACATGCCGGGTGACTCCACTATGCAGCAAAATTTGGGAACCACTGGCCTACTGTGACCTCAAAGAGATAAGAGGGGCACCTGGGTGGCTCAGTCAGTTAAGCATCTGCTTTCAGCTCAGGTCATGATCCTGGGGTTCTGGGATCGAGCCCCGCATCGGGCTCCCTGCTCAGCAGGGAGTCTGCTTGTCCCTCTGACCCTCTCCCCTGTTGTGCTCTCTCCTCCTTCACTCTCTCAAACAAATAAATCTTAAAAAGAGAGAGATAACATAGGAAGCAGAAAGTGAAATGTACCATGAAACAACAGAAAAAAATAATTAGGGATTCTTTCGAAGAAAATGGGACTTTGTTTTTGGAAACTGTCTCCTGACTAAGAATTCTGTTTTTGTCTCCCCATCTCTGCTTGAAAGAATTCAGATTGGGTGCCTCTCACTACACTACCACCCTGCAAATCACTCAGGACAATGGCAGCCATCAGTCGCTACTTGGAGCTGACCATCGAGCCCGTGCAGCAGGTAAGTGGTGGTGGGCTACAGCCAAGGGTCCAGAAGGGTGGGAAGTAGTCATGGAAGGCTTCCTGGAGGAGGTGACACTTTAGCTGCAGGATGGGCAAGATGAGGCAAGAAAGCATGTAAAAGAAGGAAGGAGCTGTCCAAGGCCTCAGTGGGGGACGGGTGAAAGGCTGGAGAGGAGGCAAGGGAGAGATCTTCCCGCTGTGGAGCCTATCCTCCTGAGGGGCAGGAGTCCAGGAGGCATCAGGACTAGAGACTCAGGGGCAGATGTGCCTTTTAGAGGCGTCACTCAGGCAGTGTTGGAGGGCAGACGAGGCAAGAGGAGACAGAAGCAAGGCAGTCAGTGAGGGACAGCTGTAAGTCCAGGAGAGAGGTGGTGTGGCCTGAACCAAGGCTGGGGCAGGGGGAGAGGCGGAGACTGAGTGGAGGCTTGGGAGGCTGAGGGAGGCTGAGCGCTCCCGATGACTCCCGAGGTCCTAAGCCTGTGCGCAGAGGGTCCCCAGGAGGAAGAGGTTTAGCAAAGAGATGGGAAGAGGTGACAGGAAGTCCACCCCCTCATCCCACACCCACTAAGACTTCCAGCGACCTCCAAGTCCGTAAATCCTGGGTCGGCTCTGTCCTTGTTGGGATTGAACACACTTGGCCACTGGCTGCTTCGGATTTATGGAGCGCCGGCGCTCCCAGCTTCTCTGCACCTTGTGCAGGCCCCTGAGGGCGGGCTGGCCCCCGAGGCTGCAGCAGCCCAGCTCTGTCCCCGCAGGGCTCCCTCCTCTTGGCATGTTTGCCCGCCCGGGCCCACAGTCCCAGAGCGCTCGGGGCCAGCTCCCCTCCCGGCGGGGTCACCACACGGCACCCCACCCTTGCCGTGACCGAACAGAACTTGGGATTGCCATGCCCTCCCCGTCCCCATCCTCAAATTCTTCTCTCCCCCTCACTGCACATCCACTCCAGCTGTGAGTCTCCTACATACTGCTTTTACAATAGAGCCAGCAGCCTCCTACCTCATTCCCTCATCCCCTTCTCAGGAGTTAACCTTGCCCCCCCCTCCACCTGCAGCCAGCAGCCAGAAGGGGCAACTACATCGTGTTCCTCCTTGGTCTGAAGCCCCCTGGCTTCCCATCTCATACAGAAAAAATATCTAAAGTTCCACAGACTTGCGAGACCCCGGAGCCCAGCACTCGCTCCCTCCCCGCTTCTCTCCCCTATTCTCTTTCCTCTTCACTCCTCCCAGCTGCCTGGGATTTCTCTCTCCATTCCTGTGCCTAGAATGCTCTTCCTCCTAATTGCTTTTATATGGCTGCCTCCTTCCAGTCTTCCGGACTTCAGTTTAAACGTCACCTTCTCTGGGTGGCTCAGTCAGTTAAGCATCTGCCTTCGGCTCAGGTCATGATCCCAGAGTCCCTGGATCAAACCACCCCATGAGCTCCCTGCTCAGCGGGGAGTCTGCTTCTCCCTCTACCCCTCCCCCCTGCTCTTGATCTTTTTCTCCCTCTCCCCAAAAAATAAATAAAATCTTAATAAAATAAAATAAATGTCACCTTCTCAAAGGCCATCCCTGACTACACACTCAAAAGTAGCCTCTACCTTTCTATCATATTTCTCTCTTTTACTGCCTTTTTAAATACTCTACAAAGCACTTCTCACTATCTTTTACTTTGGTTGTCTGTCTCCTGCTGGGATGTAAACTTTGCCTCCTTCTCTCCTGTTTGCCTAGACCCTGGTGTGTGAGGCCCTCGGTAAAAGCTGTTTGGATGTTTGGAGCGTGGCGCGGAGCTCAGTGGTAGCAACCCTGTTCAGCTGCCCAAGAGACGGGCTGGTGCTCAGAGTTTGGGCCTGAAAGATAGGTTTTACTCTTTGTTGTGGTTCCCTGGAAAGGAGGCACAAGTAACCCCAGGATGTCAGTGGCATTCAGAGAGATTGAGAGCACGCTTTCACAGCTAAGAGCCCACTTGGGCCATGAAACCCTTGTTAGAATGGGAAGTCTGGGGAGAGAGCACAGGGAACCCCAGCAGCATCTGGCAACGTTTTGCGCTAGAAATTTTTACATCATAGGACTTCTGAAAAATACTAGTGCAAAACTTGCATTCACTCTAACCCTCCCAGTACCTGAATCTTGAGTGGATTCATGCTGCGGAACTGACTCCGGGAAAGAAAAGTGTGTCCCTCCTTCATTCTCTTCCATTGAGGCCACCTGCAGCCCATTTTTGAGCAAATAGTCCCATTTGGCTTCTTCCTTCTGTGTCCACCAGAGGGCAGTGGTGTCGCTGAGACAGCTCCCAGCAGCCAGCCTGCAGCCCCGGTCCCTGCCGGGCAGGAAGCCGCTTCTCTGGGCTCCAGGGCCACCACTCCCACAGTAGTGTGTTTGTTGAGGGCTAACTACTTGCCAGTCTTTGAGACAGTAATAACAGCCATCGCTTCCGTGATGCTTCTTAGGCTGGTCACAGATGGTGCTTAGAGTACTGGACTAAGTGCTTTGTAACCAACCATAGAAATGCTCCCTCTGGGCTAAGTGCTTTGTGTACATGAACTCATGTAAACCTCACAGCCGACCCCTAACCTCATTTTACAGATAAGGAATACGGGGCACAGAGAGGTTAAGCAACTTGCTCAAGGTCACACAGCTTGTCAGTGGCAGAACCAGGATTCAGACCTGTCTCTACCCGAGTCTGTGCACTTGACCACTAGGCAACACTGCCTCTTACTTGGCATAATGTCTGACACCAAGTAAGCGCTTGATAAATGGTTGGCTTTTAAATTATTATTAATGTAAATTCTCATAACTATTATTATTTCTATTGTTATTGAATAATTAACCATTGTATTATGATTTTAAATTGAGGCGCAGGGAGGGTTAAGTAGCTTGCCCAAGATCTCATAGTTAGAAAAGCACAGGAATGTGTTTCAAATGAAGTCTGTCTGATCCTGGGACCTGAGCTTTATTTTTTATTTATTT